TATTATCGTAACTATTGGCCACATTATATGAAACGAAGCACATGGTTGCCAGTTCAGCACATACAACACATAGGAAATCATGGTTGCTAACTTGCTGAGTTATTGATAGAGTTGCCCATTGTTGCGATAATACCCAAGTACCATTATTTCATTGCTAAAAAACCTGTCGATATTTCTGTTGATGAATAAGTAATTATGATCTAAGATTCTATTTACAAAAAGCTTCACAAATTATTGTTTGGCAGAAAAACTAAATTTTGATTCACAGTATCACATAATTAATATACACTACCATGATAAGCAAGAAATGGATAGTTCAGAAAATAAACAAATATAAAACTGTGCGACATTGAAATTATAGCATCACAATTTAAATTTGGAGGTTATCTAAAACAAAAAATAAGCACTCCTTTTGATGAAATTACCATAACCAGTACTGAACAAACAAAACAGTAACGGAAAATCTTAAATATGAAAAAGAAATAAAATCAACTTAAATAAATATGAAGTAACCTTACATATAGTAGAAATTATGACATCGACTCAAACAAAAAGCAACCTAAAAAAAGAGATAAAGGTCTGATTTTGAAGAAACTACCATAAACAGCTCAGAAAATCTTTATACGTAAATAAAAATTTTGTATTTGCGTATTAGCATCACCCTAGCTAAATTGACGCCACACAAATCATACTATTTCTCACCATCTGTTTTCCCCTATAAAACATGTAAGAATCTTTGTTTTGATATCAAGATGCAATTCATGTGGTGCCAATTTGGCTGCTGTGACGTTTTTCGTAAGCACCAAAAATTCAAACATAAATCATAATATTGGCAATCTCAATTAATTTGAATGTAGACATTTTCTTGTTGTTATAGGCTAGATTTTCATAGTATTTTGCTACATCAATGAAACATGGAATTTACCAATAAAGGAAGGAAAGCAATAACCTTTTTCTTTTTCAACAAAAAAAAATGTTATAGGAACAGCTTTTTTAAACTAAATGGTCCTGCTATTCAGATAGAAGTAGACATGACATACCGCTCATATTCATGCGATGATTTTTTTCTAAACTTAGTAAATATCTTCAAAAGTGGCCAGTACAATAAAAATAGTAGTTTTAACAACATTAGGCCTTGCAAGATGGGCAGCTGTTCCATTATGCAATCAACATGTATTACCACAAACCACATAAGTATATAAGAAATAATCATAAACAGAAATTACACAGGTACATAAATTTATTGCTGTGGTCAGTCTTTAATATCGCCCACTGATGTTGGCAGGCTACAAATCCATCTGACGTTGATATCGTGACACAGAAAGTTGTCGGCCCTAAAGTAAGTAAAGCTTAGAACTAAATCATCACATGAATATCAGTACACGTTAAGGGCTAAATTAAATTAGTTTAATGTAATTTTTTTGCTTATATTTTATTTGATTATTCCAAACCCTTTTTCGGTTTAGATTTAATTCTGTCATTTCCTTTTCAGCTTAAAAATTTCTTATTTATTTTGTGAGCAGTGAATTGTAAATTTCTATTTTGGTTGAAGGCTGCATCACATTTTTTTATTTTGACTTTTATATGTATACATTTGATTTTTCTGTACTGTTTTTATGAGGAGAAACAAACACATAGGCATCAAAGTCTCCATCACCAATAGCGTAACAGAGAATATCAGGGCCCCCTGCAAAGTCAGGTTTTGGGCCCCCATGATGCAGGGATATACGTTACGCCACTGTCCATCATTCAAGTTTTTGCCACTGAATTTCATGTTTTGAACAGTTTTAAAATCCCCCCCCAATACAGCAAAGAGATGTCCATTACGAATAATCTGGAAATCGCAAGAAGAGTTCAAAGGCAGTCTGTAACTCAGAAGTGAAGCCGTAAGCCATAGGGTTCAACATGGCAGCTTTATATGCTTCGCGAGATGGGTAGTTGTTCAATTCATGATCTTGTGTAAATATCTTAAATCTATACCAGTTGCTGATTATATAATGAACAACAAATAAAAAATTGAACTGAAAAAGTAGGAGCCATCACCGTCAATTGGAACAACTTGGCAAGAGAATGTATTTTCCAAATTTCAACAGCTCGAACACTTGCATCACTGTTTAGAATAACATATAACAATCAACATTAACAACTGAAAATCACAACTACTTCCAAAGGTAGTTCATAAAATAAACATAATTACTAAAATAGTAATTACAGCATTGAAACAAACATCTAAACAATTAACAAAAACAACTGGTTCAGCTTGTTCTGTATTACTGTCCATAAAATAAATCTGTAGAAATTTTAGTTCTTCAGACCAGGGCAAGGAAATATACTACCTAATCTATGATAAACTTGGCCTTGCACTTTAAATGTAGGCATAAATCCAGTCTCAATTATTCGCATGGAACAGCCAAAAGAAGTCGTTTGAAAGCAACTGTTATATCGCCTTATATTCTTTTGAAACAATTTTGCACATGTAGTCAAATGACAACAATGTAAGGAGGGGCTCAGGTGGATCCCTCAACACAGGTAAATGCATCTTCCAACCATTACAACATAAACCAGGAGCTTCACCTTTAAATTTCATAGGACTGCAAAATTGGCAAATAATTGACATGGGCCCAAGAATACATGATGCATCAGATTTGTAATCCATTGATGGGTTGTAGGAGTAGGCAGTATATTCTTTACCTTTCCCAACAGCCATTTTTGAAGAGCGTGAAAAATTTGTCGGATATTCAAGTCTCCCTTCTCGATCTTGAGCAGTTCCAGAGATCCTTGCTTGCATTGTTTGTAAAAACGATTGGATTTCTTTTTGTTTCTTGAAACTTTTTTCTTTCCTCAAATTTTCAGGAGTGGATCGAGACAGCGCTATATGCACCCTGATAGTTTTTAAATACAATGCTAGCGCCATCTGTTATGTAATATGGAAACTAAAATAATTGAATAATCCTATACTGTTGTTGTATTGCCGTACTAGTCGAATGATTTTTGCTGGAGTTCTTATTGCATTTTATTTACATTTTGGATAATTTTTACTTTTCATTTCTTGTTATTTTTTGCTTTATTTTATTAATTGTTTAATAATCTTTCTTGCAATTTTAATTAGTTAATTTGTTTTTTATCTTTCTGTAATCATATTTTTTATTCTTATAGTTTTCTTAAATGGAGACTGAAATTAATGTACATAACAGAGACTTAATCTGTTCATTTTGCATAAAAAAAAAACTTATAATGCCAGTAATTTTTAATATGTTATTTTCCAATGTATTTCTACATTAAAATACTATTTTAATTAAACATGACTGAAAATAATTTTTTTAAATTCGACATATAATTTTGCAAAATATTGATAGCATCTGTTACTACGAGTACAAGATTACTTAGCTTAATCAATTAACTGTTGGCATAAATATGCAATTAAAATATGATATCCTGGTGATTATATTTGATTTCAATATATTGTAATGTGTGCGTTGAAAAAATAGCTTAAATGTTGTGTTAATATAATATTAATAATATACATTATATTATATTGAGAAAGTTATTCTTAGAAGGTACTTTTCAAAAACTACTTGATAAGTTGACATATTACTTAATTTTTTTGAAAAACGAATAGAATTTATATCTAGTTGAATTAATTTACATGTTATATAAAAATTTAGGTTATTTTTCTAATATTTTATGCTTTAATTTTTTCTTCTCGCAAAGCAAAAGTGTAGATATTTTAATGAAAGTTACAAAATCATATATATTTGGCTTTTTCAGTCATATTTATTTTATAACACAATAAATTATTTTTCATTAACTAAATTAATTGCAGATTAAACTGAGGTTTGAAAAATAATCATGAGATATATTCACAAAAATAAATATTTTAGACAACAGATGGCGCTTGCATTGCATCAAAGAAAACTATCTGAGTGCAAATTGCGCTGTCTGGATCCGCTCCTAAATTTTCGAGCGCAAAAGCATTCTAAAGTACATACACTGTTGCCAAACCAACAAACTAAAATCCGTTGTAGAAAAAACACTATTTAAAAAAAAAATTTGCATTTGAAAAGAATTCGTAAATTACTCTGAAAGAACAAACAAACGAATAAGTACAATAATAAATAAATATATTTACTGTAAAAATATGTAATAATCCTCAAAAAACTGCACGAAGCATTAGTTTTTGCAAAATACATAACATGGCGTCATAACCCCAGTAAGTGTGAAAATTGCTTAAAAATTGAATTTCAAAAAAATCTGAACTGAATTTCAAAAAACCTCTTCGTAGTTAATAGCATTATGACCTATAGTATTTATGTGCCAAGTTTTATACTTCTAGGTTTCCTAGTTTGGTCGGAGCAGGTGAAATACACACACAAACACTTTCTTTTAAAAGTTTAGATTGATAAGCCCTTTTCATAAACATAGAATACTTTTAGAATGTACTGCAGAAATTCTTGTAATTTAAAACGTTTTTTTGCAAATTCAACAAACTTTTTTTGAGTTTTCAAACATAAATGAATGCGACAGTAATTAAAATTTTTTTTTATTACCTTCAGACATTTTAGCATTTTGCAACTTTGTGTCAAATCTCAAGTTTCACTAATATATATATAGAATAAGATCTTTCGCTGAGATGTGTCTTCTGATACTTTGTATTTTATAAATTTGAAATGAAAAAACCTCACACACACGCGATACATGATTAAACACAAGTGAAAGTTAGCCTACTTTGGAGTATCCTCCAAGTATTGCTTTGTGTCTTCCTGGGGTATACATACTTAATTTCAAAGACCACTGATCTATATGATGGGTCTTTAACGAAATCAAATCTAATTTTCTATTTTGAATATCGTCTAGATAGGACACAAAATAAATAATGTATTGATTAAAAACAAGTAATATAAAAAATTTAAGTTAATTCCTCATTAGGTCAAAATTTTTTATTTTTTTATTTTAGTTACTTTGGTATAGTAAAAAAGGAATCACATTCTCAGAAATTGAGCCATCCCAGGTGGGATTCGAAGCCACACTCTTTGGATTAGAAATCCAACGCGCTATCCATTACGCTACAAGGACACAACAAATGATTTTCCTTTCTATGCATGCTTTTGGGCTATTATTTTTGTTTGTTACTATTTATTCATTTTTTAATTCAATAAATGAATTAATATTTGAAAAAAACTGAACATCAAGTGTCATCCACTACAAGTTTAAAAAAATGTATTTGAACTTGAATGGATGAATAGAAAGTATTTTATTAACGATTGAAAATTTGAACATGATATATATATAAAGAGAGAGAGTGAACTATATAATAGTAGGAATTGAAAAACAACATTTTACCCAAATTTGTAGATTTACGAAATATTACAGAAGAAATAAAAACTGAGTTCCAGGTAACGGTTAAACTGACGAAGGAATATAAATAAATTATTTAGTAATTCAAATGTAGAATATGTATTTGAATGATTTATCTCAAAACATTTAAATTAGGGCAAAAATAAACTTCTTAGGTGTTATCTAAGTACGCAAATATCACATTCATTGACGAAAGAAGATGAGATAAGACGTAAATCTGAAGTAATAATGTTAAAAAAACCCAATAAGATCTAAAAAAGCTTGTGTATTGTATGAACAACTGGTGGTTTCAATGATCCACCAATATCTAAACAAATTTGTAATAGAAACCAAAACTTCTTCAAAAAAAAGGATGATAATAAATCAGTTGTAATTCCTTTTATACAATGTGCTCAAAATATTCAAATGATTTTTACATGAAATTGATAATTAACATACATAATTTATAAACATTAAAGTTAAAAACCTCAAGATTTAAGGTCAGCAATACAATCCAAAACAAGTCTCAAAAACAGAGGTAAAAGTTTAAAAACTTTATGGAATTTTGATTTTTCCCATAGATCAACAGACCGGAAAAGGAATCTGACTTTGATTGATTGGTTTTTGAGAGATATCGAACAACAGGGTATTATTTCTTCAAACAGCATTTATGAGTGTGTATTTCTCCGGTTTTGATTTTTTTGCTTCAAAATCAAATGATATTACGGAATGAAGCACCACCAAGGCGACAAGAAGAAAAAAATATTATTTATTCCAAAACAAGTTTTTTTTAACACGCTTTTATAAGTTTCACTTGCATGTAACGGAATCTTGAAACTCGATTTTTACCCACTTTAAAAGAACAGATCAATTCGAAATTTTGCACACTTGTCAAGGACCAATGACAATACAATAATTTCATAATTGTGTTCCATTATCCTTTTCAGGATCGTCAGGAATAAGGATAATCAGATTTGGCGACAATTCCATATACCATTTTTAGATTTGGCGACTTATTGCACACACCATTTTCAAATTTGGCGACTAATTCCATACACCATTTTCAGATTTGGCGGCTCATTTCATACACCATTTCCAGATTTGGCGACTAATTTTAGATTTAGAGACTAAAAGAATAAGGTGCAACCCTAAAGCGAGTGTTTTGAATTTAAAACTAATTATATGCAAGTATAAAATACACTTGTGGTTAATAGAAATAAAACAAAAAAAGTGTTCTGTATCTGAGAAAGTGGAGGGTGGGTGTGTTAGCAGTTTCTTGCCATAATATAAATATTTTTCTGAAAATGAAAATAAAAAAAAGGCTCGTGCATGTGAAAAAAAATAATTTATGTTCTAACTGCTAAATATTTTTTATTTTTATAAAGCAATACGCTTAGAAGTTATGATGCGAATTAACATTATAGCAATACGCTTTAAAAGGTGAAAAACGATAGACTCTTAATATTACCATGTTTTTTTTAACTTGCTTTCTTTAATGTTTGTCCGGGTGGAATTTTGTAATTGATTTTAAACTGTGTGACTTTCCGATGAGCTAGAGACTTGAAATTTGGACCTAGCTCAGAAGTGGATGACAATGCATGAAAATGTGAAAAACGAAAAGGAGGAATTTTATACTTTTTATTCCGTCATAAAAACATGGTACATTAAAACTCTTTTAATTCGAACTGTTTCTTCTTGACACATTTTTATTTGTTTGAGATGGAATACAATATAACGATACGGGACTCATCCGAAGCCCTGTAAACGAAGAGAATAAATACACTTCAGACCCGTTAATTAATATCCATTGACGAGCAAGACTAATTCCAGCAGCCACGTAACTCCAGCTTCAAATATCAAACTCGAGGATAAATTCAACAATGAATAAATGATAGTTAAAAAACTAAAAAACACGCTTTTATTGTAAATCGAACTAAAAAATGAAAAATAAATTATAGTTTTAAAAAAACTAAAAACACGCTTTTATACTGAATCGAACTAAAAAGTAAAAAAAAATAAGAATAAAACGATGAACGAGAAAATTAATGTCATTGGGGTAAAAGCGTGGAGAGCTCAGTATTAATTGTTATAATTTCTTACCAGTTCTATTCCGAAAGGCTGAGTTAGTGTAAAAATGCAGTACAAAGCACCCCACGCTTTTACCCCAATGACATTATTTTCTCGTTAATCGTTTTATTCTTATTTTTCGAATTATTTTCTTACTTTTTAGTTCGATTCAGTATAAAAGCGTGTTTTTTAGTTTTTTTTAAACTATAATTTATTTGTCAAAAATATCCATGGAAGTAAGAAAAAGTATACTGTACTAAAATTTTTTGGAAGAGAAAAAGACTTTATCAAAATTTTTTTTATAGATATTGTGATTTAATATTTTGTTAATTATGAATATAATTGAAAAGTTAATCAAAAGAAATCTCTAAGAAACACAATACCTTTTAATTAAAAAAAATCATCCCCTCCCCTTTAAAACAATCTAAACGATTACTTTTATTAATAATACAGAAGAACTATTAACATGATTTTTAAAAAATGACACCTTCCACGTAATAAATAGCAAAAGCACCTCGATACTTGTGAAAGATGATTTTGTTTGACTCTCGAAATAAAATATATTATGATTTTCTATGGATTGCGATTTTCTTTCCAAATTCTTTAAGTTCTAAAGATTGACTATTTCGGTTGCTCGTTTTAAATCGCACTTCTTCGCCATAATAATGAAAGGTTACTAAGCTTTATCGTTTGTGATCAGATCAAGTTACAGTCAACGCCATTTATATATTGTGACGTAGTCACAAAGGAGAAATCGCCCCTATTCATGATGAACTCCACCGCTGGAGAGCCCGTGGCGTTGGCGTCATTGTGTTTTGTCGGACAGTTGGACTGTCGGCGCCGGTGTGACTGGTAAACATTATGGGCTGGGCATCACTGCATTATTTTTCGTCCATAGGCAGTGATTGTCCGTCTTGAAAGGCTGGCGCCCCGGCAGACGGCGGCGGGTGGCATCAAAAGAGGAAAAGGTGGCGAGATGGTTCGAGTACCAGATGGCAGCCAAGCCCTTGTCGCTGGCGACCTTTGAGAGGGACCAGAACCTTTGTTATCCCTGCACGAATGGTGGGCTTGCAAGACCGAGGTGCCGGGTGCAAAACCTTGAGGCCTGCCAACGGGGGTTGATGAGGGGCGTGGAGTGGACCCACTCCTAGAGTTTAAAAGAGTCGACCCAAGAAAAAAGAGGGATGGCCTCCCGATCGACCTCCGAGACGGAATCCTGGGATCTAGAAAAAGCCTCCAGATGGACTCCCACTATCGACTCCCGAGACAGGATCCGACGGACGAAGTGCGATCGACACCCGAGAGGACTCCCCACGACCGACCCCTGTGACAGGATCCGACGGACGAATAAAGAAACGCCGAGATAGACTCCCGAGATGAACGCTGAGATCGACTCCTGAGACAGTATCCGACGGGCGAAAAAAGAAGACGCGAGGAGTGGACACCCATGCAACTAGCTGGCTAAATAGAACGAACACCTATAACTGAATTCTTTTTCTCTTCCTAGTAACCTTCTAAATGTTAAAAAGTGAAATAAATCAATTTTAGCTCACAAAAAAAGTATTTTTTTTTTAATGATTAGCCTGGCGTCACAATACGCAACCAAGTTCACGACGTCACAATGCATAAAAGCATTTATTCATGGGAAATTTTAATTTCGGGCTCTTCGAGGGTGAATTGTTTATTTTGAATGAATACAATAAATTGTATTTTTTACGGTACTTTTACTGATTCATAAGTCTTCTTAATTCAGTAGTTCAGTCGAAACATTTTCCGAAAACAGAAAAGCAATTTCTAAAATTTGTTTTCTATAAAAGCTGATAAAAGACATTTGTTTGCTGATTTTCATTTTTAGTTACAATTAAAATTGTTGAAGGGCCTGGATTGAAGCTTACTTCTAAGTATTGATTTAATTTTCATAATATGTTCTCAAAATCTAATTAGACAGATGAATAAGTATGCCTTTTGGATTTGAAGCTCGCAATTGCAAAACAAAGATTTTTCATGGTGTAGTTTAAATTTATCAATGTTTAGTTCTTCTTAAAACATGCGTTTGCTGACGCGTTTTTACTTAAAATAATGCTTTTTTTTATACTAAGATTATATTTTATCTCAGCTGTGTGTTTAAGAGTTCTTATGTATATTTAAAGTTGTGACAGATCTATACGCCCCTTCCACTAACCCTCTTGGGAAATCTTTGGGCTATGAATATCAACAACCCTTTCTGAAGAAGAAACCGTGATATGCAGTTAAATCTATTATATATGGTATAGGTTTGCTTGCTAGCTAGTTAGTTAGAGTTAGATAGAAGAGAGATAGAAAGAGATATAGAGAAAGAGATAGGTAGTTAGAGGAAAATTGATATTTAATTGAAGTTGTCAAGAGATTGAAACATTAAAAAGTAGAAGATAGGAAGACTATCTACAGTTCAGGTATTAGTCTTAATGATAGCGCGTTTTGGTGTTTAAATTATTAGAGATTTAAGTGACAATTGGTCACATAGCTACAGAGTAAATCATTTATTAAAGTAGAAGATTGATTCATAAAAGGTGGATCAATTTTTTAGAAGTATTCTCTGTGAACACGCGACTCTCGCTACAAAATCCCTGCTCTCTACTTGGAAACATCTCAACCTAACTGGTTATTTGAATTTTGTTTGTATTAATTAGTGT